TTAGAGACTAACAAATTTATTAGAGCATAAGCTTTTGTGGACTACAGCCCACTTCTATATGCAGTTCTATATACAGTTCCACTCTATATGCATCTGAAGAAGTGGACTGTAGTCCACAAAAGCTTATGCTCTAATAAATTTGTTAGTCTCTAAGGTGCCACAAGTACTCCTCCTTCTTTTTGCGGATACAGACTAATACGGCTGCTACTCTGAAACCTATTTTCCTCCTGCCTCCCTCAATTCTGACACCCCTCTTTTTGATCACCATCTTCATTATTTCTCACTTCCTCTCCCCCAGCTCCTGTTAATGCCATACTTTTGAAACCTTCAGTCTATTAAACATTCTGACTTCTCTATTTCCCTCTCCTATTTCCATCTCTTTGGGTGATTACATGTTTTTTTACCTAACTGTCTTCCTATCAGCACTTCACGGGCCACGTTCAGATGGGACACAAATTATGGTATATATTATCCTTGATAAAATGGTATATGTCACTCTCAGTATTAGCTGGTGTAATTTACACATTGACAGTGTTGTAGTGAGAAAAGTCAACTGAAAGGATTGTTAATGAAGGTGTAAGATAAAGCAGTGCTTCTCAGATATGTTTCCAGTTAGAAACAAGGCCTTCCATGTGTAAGTCACATTAATTTGCATTCACGATGAGTTACCAATGTACAACTTACATCAATTATATCCTGGTGTGGGCTTGGAATTAGGCAAGATACCATTGTTCCTCTCCTCTACCACTCAAAGTCCCCTGTAAACTCAACCCTAACTCTCTCCCTGTCTCACCTCTCTCTAGTCTTGCTTATGCTATAGTGAGCATCTTTGAAGACAGTCTCATTCCCTCACAGGCTGCCTATATGTTTGTCCTTCCCTTGTTCAGCTGGCTAAACAATATCATCCTCAATTAGTCCTAAAGCCTTAACATCATTTCTCTGTCTTCCATCCCTCTCTTTGAACTCGCTAGGGTCCCTCTCCCCAGAATTTCAGACTTTTTCAAGGACAAAATTCATATTCCCCTTCTTTTTCTTTTTTCCTCTTCCTCTCTCAGTCATCATTCACTCCTTTCTCTGAAACCCATCTTTCCCCTCCCATCCACCGCTAATCTCATGACATGTACTCTTAATCTTGACCTCTCCATTGGAGGTAAGTGCCAGAGAAACATCCAGAAACTGTGCCAGAATCAGTGCCAATCACTGGAGTAAATTGGCAAAGCCAGAAATTAGGAGCCAGAATTTATGAATATTAATACCAAGCTATTCTCTGCTATTCAGAGCATTATATAGAATTATTAGTAATAATCTGTATTATATTGTCCTGAGATCTGGGGGTAGGACCACTTAGGTGGGATAAACTGACCATCATTTCAAGATCTAAAAATAATGGCATTGCCACAAAATAAATGGGGTAAACTGGTGATCTCACTTAAGACAGAATGGTAATAATCACTGAATGTCCTGTGGTAAAGGACTCTGTTCTTTTTTGCTGGACATAGTGACAAGACTATCAGGGAGAGCAGGATGTTCCAGAAGATATTAAAATAGTTCTAAAAGTAGCACCAGGAGACTAAAGAAAGGGCCCAACATTAGAGGAACCATATTTCCATTGATATTGAACAGCAAAAATTCTCTGTCTTTCTTTATGAGGAGGACTGTAGCCAGAAGAACACAGAAAGGAGTAGGACTGGTTTCAATATAATGACCACTTCATTTGATAATAGCAGCAAAGAGTCCTGTGGCACCTTATGGACTAACAGACGTATTGGAGCATGAGCTTTCGTGGGTGAATACCCACTTCATCGGCTGCATCATGCACCCACAAAAGCTCATGCTCCAATACGTCTGTTAGTCTATAAGGTACCACAGGACTCTTTGCTGCTTTTACAGATCCAGACTAACACGGCTACCCCTCTGATACTTGACATCATTTGATAATGTTTCCTGACGGGTCTATAGTAAGGAAAGGAATATCTAAAACTCTTAGGGGCTCTGGGGAAGTAGAAAATTACGGCTTCTCCTCATGGGCTGAGGCGGTACCCCTATTTCAATAAGACATTTTGAAATTGTAAACAGTCATCCCCTAAAAAGATGTTTCCCAGTATATGAGAGGGTCAGGATTTTGAATTTTACAGAAAGCCTACCTCCCCTGTTATGGAAGGGTACCTATGATATAGGTTCAGAGACAGAATGAGTCTTGGGCCACATTATGGAGTTCAGTCACAAGTTGGCACCTGCAGTGTGGACTTTGATGCTGTCCTTTTAGAGGTGCTGAGGGTTCACTCAACTGCTGTCTTTTGTAACATTTTAGCAACATTTCTATAATTTGTCATGCCATAAAAAGCACATAGAAAGAGAGAACAGAAATGCCAAGTTGTCAGCCACATAATCAAAGAACCTTTTAAGAACTCTATCTACTGTACATTCTTTCCTAGGGAAAATCAAATAATGGCATTCAATAGGTAGGGAGGATTTGCTATCCAAGTGGGAGCTACTGCTGAGCTGACTTCAGGGACGGAGGACCAAGGCTTTATCATAGCAGTGGGGAGCCTGGCCATATGAATAGACCATGCACATAGTATGTGGTGCCAGCAAGGTGTTCTTAATGAGGGCTAAAACAGATAGTCAATTTATTGTCAAGATTCCTTTCCTTACAAGTGAGGGGGAAGTTCTCTTCAGATCATGGCCAACGTAACCTAGCCAAGTTTACTTCTGAGAAGTTTGGCAATAGCTTTACATAAACAAAAATCCTCTAATAACCAGAGTCCATTTCTTCTGACTTCCCCAGGGTTTGAAGGAATTCTTGCTGCCATGAATGTATGAAAAATAAGGAACGAACAAAATATTTTCAAGTATTTCTGGAAAGCTCAGTCATTCATTATGAGAGTCTCAGTTAACAGTAGATAGAATGGGCTTAGCTAATGGACAGCATTGGTTGAGGCCCTAGGCATTGCAGCAGGCCTTAGGGGTGCCAGGGACACAGTGAGGAAGGGCCAGCCTGACCTCTAGCTTTAACAAAGGCTTTGCTATAAGTAAAGTTAAGACCAGGCATGAAAAATTGCAGTAAACCTATATACCCAACATAAATTTAGGAATAAAATAGACACAGAATGTCCTACCTCTTCTGGATGTTTCTGTGCCACCGCTACCAGCTCTTCAGAGCTGCTTCTTGAGGTAGAGGGTACCACATTACCTGGGGCCTCTGAGACCACTTCATTTGACGGTTCGGAGTCCTGAGGGCAACAGAGACAAATAGACCCCTCAGAAGTGTATTGAAGTGGTACTCCACAAAAGAGAGACTTTTTAGAGGTACTGTGGTCTGAACACAGGCATGGAAGCCAGAAACTCCTAAGTCCTAAAAACCTTCTAACCTGGGCAAGTCATTTAACTTCTGTCTCAGTTTTTTCCATCTATAAAATGGGGGTATTATATACCTTACATAAGGGTATTGTAAGAATTAGTAAATGTTTGTACATATTTGAAAATATACAGTTCTATATTAGTATTAGTATTAGTATTATCTTCTCTCCTGCCCTCACTTTCCTTTCATGTGGAAAGGAAAAAATAATTTTCTTCCGACTCGAATGAGTAGAGGCATGATTCTGCAATCAGCTGGGAGCAAGGCAGAACAAGAACTGAAAAACAAGGCACTTAAGAGGTAATTATTAAGTATTCCTTAAGTCTTCAAACACAATCTGACTAGTACTTCTACCTACCAGTGAAGCAGAGAACTTGTCACTTGCATCCTAATTGCTTGTATTATTTAAAGCTTAATTACACCTATTTAAGCATTAGAGAAAACAGACACGAGTACACTAATAACCATATGTGTTTTGACAAATCAATAATACCATTAATGGCAGAATTTGTCCCACGCTTTGTCACTACTGAGGTTGATCCAAAAATTCCATGGGAGCTGTGGTTCACTTGTATTAAGTTTGAATTTGGCCCAATAGGGTTAGATAGGTGTAACTGAAAAGAGAATCTGGTCCATTTCATTTTTCCTTTTGTTTTTAATGAATGCTCCCAAATCTAGCACTAGATTCAATAAACATTTCACCTACTGTATAATCCATGTCATCCAAACCCCATGCAAATCTGTTTTGTGGCTCATTGAATGCTGATGTAGAACATAAAACTGTGCAAAGTTCTAACTGAATCTGTCCATCAGATGCTTTAACAATACAGTATTATTAGCAAATGCACAAGTGATACAATAAACACAGAAAGATGCTGAAAATATAAAAGTAGGAAGATAAAACAGATATTAAAGTACAAAAAGGAAAAATGTCAAAAGGACTTGGGTAGGTATCACATGTTTTATCCACTCAACAGTCTCAGGATCAGCAGTATGAAGTCTGGATAGACCAGCATGAGATGAGCAGTCATTTAATAGATGTGCAGGATCCTCAACTGCAGCTACAAAGGGTTGTTCCTGAGTCCCTGGGTGTGGTCATTTGCCACACACCTCACCAACCAGCATATGAAACAGTTAAGCCTGCATCAGAGTAGCATGACAGTTTGAAGCCAGGCAGTCTCTTATGAGGCTGAATGATGAGGAAGGAGACTTTTACAGACTGAGCAGCTTGTTCCCATTCTGTTTGGCAGCATCTGCCATAGCTATGGTTGGTATCGTAGTCTAGATAGGTCTTCCACTGATGAGTCAGTGGCAAGGCATTTCCTATATATATTTGAAAAGTGGAAGTTGTGGCATTTCCTGGATTTTGTCAAGGCGTTTCTTTGCTGCAATATAACCCTTGATATTAGGAGGCAGGATATTAGAGAGGACTGGTAGGCAGCGAAACTTTTTTTGGTGCCATAGGTCCTGTTATTCTCATTGTTTGATTCAACTGTACATCAAATAACTGTGGGGAATTTAACCACACAGGAGCACAGCACTCTCCAACTAAGCAGTGATCTAGCACTGAGTTACACAGTGTTTGCATCATTCCTCAGTCGAGACCCCATGCTTATTTAAGAGGCCATTTCTGCATGTAATCTTCTGATCGACCTTGGTGAGATGGTCCTTGTAGGTGAATTACTCCTACATATAATGGCTTTGGGTCATATGTCTGTCATTCTCCATTCAAAACATATTGAGTTCTCGATGTCGTGGTCATGGTTGAGATGGAAGCATGGCAACATTGTATTTGACCCACTGGGCTTACGTCTCCACTTCTTGCATTAGCTACTGATTGCTGCCATATTCTGATTTAGGATGTCCTCAAACTTTTTGAAATCTCTCTCTCACATGAAGCAAAGTATATGTAATCTGCATATTGAATGGCCTTGAAATTGTTGGAGGCAAGTCATTCATAAATATATTGACAAAAGTTAGAGCAAGAACATATCCCTGAGGGAGTCAGTTTTTCTGAGTCCTTCAGCTTCCTTGACTATGGGATGCTGTTCCAGAAAGAAGGTCTGCTGGGAGGAGATGGGGCCCACCTGACCAAGAAGGGGAAGAGCATATTCACGCACTGATTTGGCAACATAGTCAGGGGGGCTTTAAACTAGGTTCAAAGCGGGCAGGCGACAAAAGCCAACAGCTAATCATAAACAGAGGTTTAACTGTTGGGCAGGGGGACATGGAAAATTACGATAAGGTTATAGGAGCAACAAGAGGGAAATAAGTGGGGGAATGTGAAAATCATCTTACATGTCTATACACAAATGCAAGGAGTATGTGGAATAAACAGGAAGAACTGGAAGTATTAGTGCATAAGCTAGATGATGACTTAATTGGTGGAGATTTGATAGGATATGTCTCATGACTAGAATATTGGTTTATTCAGGAAGGGGAAAAACAGAGGAGATGTGGCACTATATATCAAGAATATATACTTGTGCTGAGGTCCAGAAGGAGGCGAGAGGAAGACCAGTTGAAAGTTTCTGGGTAAAGATAGAAGGGGTAAAAAAATAGGGGTGATATTAAAGTAGGTGTGCACTATAAACCATCAATTTAGGAAGAAGAGGTGGATGAGGCATTTCTACAATAAACAACTAAAATATTCAAAACAAAAGACCAGATAGTAGTAGGGGAATTTAACTACACAGACATCTGTTGAAAAGTAACATGGCAAAACACCACATTCCAGTAAGTTCTTAGTATGTATTAAGGACAACTTTTTTCTTTGAGAAAGGGGAGAAGTAACCCGGGGGCCAGCCAATTAAGACTTGCTTGTGATCAATGGGGACTAACTGGTAGCAAATCTGAAGGTGGAAAGCAGTTTGGGTGAAACTGATCATGAAATGATAGATTCTAGAGAGTTATATATTCTAGATAGATTCTAAGGAAAGGAAGAAGTTACAGTAGCAAAATAATGACAATGGAATTCAAAGATGCAGACTAACAAAATCAGAAAATTGGTGGGTATGGTCGCATGGGAAGAAAATCTAAGGGAAAAGCTGTTCAGGAGAGCTGACCATTTTTCAAGGGAACAGTATTAAAGGCACAACTGCAAACTATGCTAATGTGAAGGAAAGATAGGAAGAGGCCAATATGGCTCCATCAGGAGCTCTTTAATGACTTGAAAATAAAAAAAAATCCTAAAAAAAAGTGGAAACATGGACAAATTGCTAAGGAGAAGTACAAAAGTATAGCACAAGCATGTAGAGGCAAAATCAGAAAGGCTAATGCACAAAATGAGCTACACTTAGCAAGGGACAGAAAAGGCAATAAGAAGAGGTTCTATAAATACATTATGAGCAAGAAAAAGACAAAGGAAAATATAGATCTTTTACTTAGCAGGGAAGGAGAGTTAATAATGGATGACATCAAGAAGGCCGACATGTTTTAAAGCCTGTTTTGCTTCAGTTAAGGTTAATGGTAACCAGATACTTAACACAATTAATACACCTCTACCCCGATATAATGCTGTCGTTGGGAGCCAAAAAATCTTACTGCGTTATAGGCGAAACTGTGTTATATTGAACTTGCTTTGATCCACCGGAGTGCACAGGCCCGCCCCCCCGGAGCGCTGCTTTATTGCGTTATATCCGAATTCATGTTATATTGGGTCGCGTGATATCGGGGTAGAGATATATTAACAACAAGGAGAAAGGAATGCAATGCAAAATAGAGAAAGAACAAGCTGAAGAATATTTAGATAAGTTAGATGTATCCAAGTTGGCAGGTCCTGACAAAATTCACCCTTGGGTACTTAAAGAACTAGCTGAAGCAATTTCAGAACCATTGGCAATTATCTTTGAGAACTCATGGAGCACCGTTGAGGACTTGAGAAAAGCAAACGTAGTACCTAACTTTAAAAATGGGAATAAGAAGTGCCAGGGAATTATAGAACAATCAGATAACTTCAATATCTGGAAAGATACTAGAGATACTGGAACAAACTTTTAAATAATTCATTTGTAAGGACCTAGCAAATAGTAGGGTTATAAGGAATAGCCAGCATGGATTTGTCAAGAACAAATCACGACAAACCAACCTACTTTCCTTCTTTGGCAGGGATACTGACCTAGTGGATGGGGAGAAGAGTAAATGGGATATATCTTGATTTTAGTAAGGCTTTTGACACAGTCTCACATGACATTCTCATAAGCAAACTAGAGAAATTAGGCCTAGATAAAATTATAGTAACATGGGTTGAAACAACATACTCAAAGTTTCAGAGTAGCAGCCGTGTACTCAAAGTGTAGTTATCAATAGTTCTTTGTCAAATCGGGAGGGCGTATCTACTGGCGACCCTCAGGGTCAGTCCTGGGTTCGATACTACTCAATATTTTTATTAATGACTTGGATAATGGAGTGGAGAAAACACTTATAGAATGTGCAGATGACACCAAGCTGGGAGGGGTTGCAAGCACTGTGCAGGGCAGGATTTGAATTCAAAACAACTCTGACAAATCGGAGAATTGGTCTGAAATCAATACGATGAAATTCAATAACGATAAGTGCAAAGTACTATGCTTGGGAAGGAAAAATCAAATGCACAAGTACAAAATGTGGACTAATTGTCTAGATGGTAGTGCTGCTGAAAAGGATCTGGGGGTTATCGTGGATCACAAATTGCATATGAGTAAATAATATGATGCAGTTGTGAAAAAGGCTAATATCATTCAGCAGGGTTTTAACAGCATTGTTGTACATAAGACACGGGAGGTACTGTCCCGTACTTCTCAGCACTCGTGAGGCCTTGGCTGGAGTAATGTCCAAATTCCGGATGCCACACATTAGGAAAAATGTGGACAAACTGGAAAGAGTCCAGAGGAGAGC